CGAGCTTGCCAACTTCCACACGTGGTTTTAAAAAAGCTTTGGGACCGATTCGATTGAAATTTTTACAGTAGTTGTCCAAAAGAGTATTCTAATCGATAGTAATATCAATAACCGATTTGGAACACCTCAGTCGTTGAGGCTAAGTATTTATCGGACCACCCTCGTATAGCAGTGAGAGTATATAGAAGACTATATGCAAAGTTTCATTCAGATAGCTTTAAAACTGAGGGACTAGTTTGCGTAGAAACGGACAGACGGAAATGGCTAGATCGACTCGGCTGTTGATGCTGATCAAGAATATATATACTTTATAGGGTCGGAAACGTCTCCTTCACTGCGTTGCAAACTGCTGACTGAAATTATAATACCCTGCCAGGGTATTAAAATGACACTTTTTATGAAAAGCGCTACCAAAAATTCAATTTTTAAATAAAAAAAAATTCTTCGTTTAAAGACAAGCCAGACACTTACACTATCAGAAAAACTTTTGTTTTTTGATTTCCTATAAACATTGACGGAGATATCCTGCTTACCGCCAGGACATAATTTTTTTTTGGGGTTAAGTTCAAACCTCCCTCAACGGCTCATTTGTCAATATTTCATGTTTAAATTTTTACACAATTTAGTTCAAACCTTATACATTAAGGGGGGACATCTGAGTAACTTTTTTTAAAAATCGAAAAAAATTTTTTTTTGCTTAAAAAATTCTTTAGCGTCTTAAAAATAACACACCAAAAGATAGAGTCCTACAAAAGTTTCTAAGTGTCGAAATTTTCCATTCTGCGGCGATGCCTCACATGTAATCATATACGATTTTAAAACTTTAAACGCGTTTTTCTCAAAACCACTTTTTTTGAGTTGGCCGAAAAAATAACTCGAACAAATCTTAACCGATCGATCTGAAATTTTGACAGTATATTCAAAATACCTATGGCTATCGAAACACGTAGGTTTTTTTTTTTTTTTTTTCTTTTTTTATCAACAATTTTGTGACTTTTTTTTCATGAAAATTGAAAATTTTATTTAATCACTCACCATTTTGCAAAAAATCAAAATATCGAAAAAATCCTACGTGTGTCGATAGCGGTTGAGATATAGAAACTAACAAAATTTGATTTTTTGTTCTAAATCAAAAATTAAGGACGTTAGGTTTTCGGCCATGGATCCACTTAAAAAAAAGGGCCTACGAAGAAATGCTGCACAGCCGTCATTTTGTTTTCGATTTATTCCAAAAAAATATATTTTGTACATCACATATAACATTCGATTTATTCCAAAAAAATATATTTTGTACATCACATATAACATTATAAAACCCACTTTAAAATTTTTCGATTGGCTTTTTGATTTGGCCAAAAAAAATTCCAGAAAAACGGTTTTTTTTTACTCAGGTACTCAGTTACTCAGATGTCCCCCCTTAATGTAGAATAAATGAAATTTTCATAATTGTCATAGGATCTTTAAAAAAAAATTCTGGAAAATATGCCTTTTTTTGTGATTCAAAACCCGGATAACCCCTTAAGCTGCCAAAAAAAAAAATACATACTACATACATAAGTTACTCCGGATTTTTACAAGGAGTTGTAAGATTTACCGGGGTAACATCAGATTTCGGCCTGGATCACCGAGGAATCCCAGAGAAATTCGAATTTTCGTCAGTGATCGCCTGATATATGAAAATTCCCGGTAGCGTTTTCTGAAAATTCGCTTCTGATTCCGGGGGGAGGCTTTATAAGTACCAGGCTATTCCTGGGGGAATCTCAAGTAATTGCTACTGAAAAGCACAAACATAACATTAGTATCTACACTCAGCGTCATATCTCTGCGTACAGGGCAAATATTTTTAAACTTGTCACTTTGACAGGATAGTCCTCGCAATTACCTTCATATTCCATATTTTAGAAAATTTATATCTTTGGTACCTCTATAATTAAATAATAAATCATCTTAAAACTGCAAAAAGCTATAGAGATATTGGCGGAATCTTAGGTCGCGCACACTCTTCAATGCAGAGAGTCATATACAGTGAGTCACAAAAGTATTCGTTGCAAGGTTCCCGACGAATAATTATGTTATTTTTTTAATGATTAAGTATCAAATTGATAACTTTAGTTTTTATTTTATGTTGCTCAGATATTAAACAATAGGAAAACAACAAAAAGTTGTTAAAAAACTAGCTTCATTGCTGTTTTTTTCTAAGAAATTCATTTGAACTACAAAATTTCATGTCACAAAAGTATTCGTTTTTTTGTTTCGCCATTAAATATTTATTATTTTTTTATTGTGTTATATCTTATGTGCAATCCTTTGCTTTATTTAATAGCTTATAATCGTCCTTGCATTGGCTTTACCCATTTTGGGCACCTCTTTCAGGATATATTCGACCATTTCTTCCACATTATATCTTTAAGTTCCTTTTTCGGCAAAAATCTGCTGTTCCTGGAATTTTAGCTTAAGATGGTGTCATAGACTTTCAGTAGGGCTAACGTCTGGGCTCTGTGAAGGAGTTTTAGTCTGGTTTCAATAGTACAACACCCACATCTTGATTTTAAAAGTCGTTTGTTCGGCGCTATTGTACTGGTGGAAATTGAACTTGTCGGGTTCTGGACACATTAGGGTGCCACTAGAGAGTAAAATACACCTTAATATATTTAAATATATATCAGCAATTATTATTCCTGTCTAAAAAAAAACATATTTCCAACTCCTGGGGCGGACAGACACCCTAAACTAGAACAGAAACTCTGACGTGCTTTACTGTTGCTGTATCATTTTTTAACTTGAGGGCTTTTCCGGGCTTGCGTCAAACTATCCATTCTCAATCCGATCCCTAAACATTGAAAACCTTTTTTACTTAATATTACTTGCCCTGAATACTCTCAAATTTGGTTCAAATACGCTATATCAAAGAAAATAGCTTCGGCATATTGAAAGGTGAAAACAAGGATTTCATTTTAGGGCTTCTACCATCCTCATCATGGCTTCTAGGAACTGTTCCGATAGTTTAAGTGGATACATTTGTTCCTTAGGATGTGGTCATAGCGGTGTTAATTTTTGCAGCCTATAAATGTATGCCTTTCCTGTTTTTTTTTTAAGAATTGTTCTATCTTCTCTGATTTTCAATTACTATATTCGGCCAAAACGCGGCTTATTTTCCAGGAAATTTTTTGATTTCAGTAGAAAAACCACGCTTATTATGGTAAGAGGACTATTATCAAACATACCAGAAATATATTTTAAGGATCAACCCTCATTGTGTAGGTGTAAAGTAATTTTCTTCTGGAAAATGTTTTGACTCCGTACTATTCGGCATTTTGTAATTGATTACGACCCACAATGACGCTTAAATGTTGTGTTTTTCCATGAATTAAATTTTAAAATGTATTCCCAACCAGAATACTGAAAAAAATTGCACTAACCCATGAAAAAAAGAAAGAATAATTTTAAAAAAATCTCAGAAACGAATACTTTTGTGAGCATAAAAATCGATTTAGTTTTATATATTTGTCTGTAGCTTGTTTTTGAAAAAGTTTTCTCTAAGTTTTTTTTTGTCATATGCTAAACAAAATATACATCTTTGGGATAGTAATCCATTTTTTCACATTTTGAAGCTTTTAGCTAGTGAAAGTTGACATTTTCCTCAAGACCTCCTTTGCAACGAATACTTTTGTGACTCACTGTATAATTATGTTTCGACCGGTTCTATACTTCCCAAGCTTCGAGAAGGCCGCTCATGTCGATTAACAAAAAGGGAAAAAAGGAAAGTAGTTTTTATGATTCAAAACAATCAGTAATTGACTTCCCGAGAAGTGCAGCAAGAGGAGGAAAGTCGGTTTTCTAAAACCGTTTCGTACTCGACTATCCGAAGGATTATAAACAAATCTGGATTCATGAGCTGCGTGGCCAGAAAGAAGCCCTACATTTCCAAAACAAATCGAGAGAAACGCATTCAATTTCCAAAGGACCATATTTCCAAGCCTCCAGAGTTCTGGAAGTCAGTAATTTTTTCAGATGAAAGCAAGTTTTGCATATTTGGAATAAAAGGAAAAAAGTTAATCTGGCGCAAGAGCGGAGAATCCCTCGAAAAGCTGAATTTACTTCCAACTGTGAAACATGGAGGATGTGGAATAATGATATGGGGTTGTATGGCAGCTAACGGCGTTGGAAATCTGCACTTCACCGATGGTATTATAGACCATAAGATATATGTATATCCAACTGTTAAGGGATAATTTGATCCAAAGTGAAACCAAACTGGGGCTACAGAACAAATTTATCTTTCAATAAGATAACGACCCCAAGCATACAGCTCAAAATGTCAAGCTCTGGTTGCTGTATAACGTAAAAAATCAACTCAAAACACCGCCACAGTCTCCAGACTTGAACCCCATCGAGCACCTGTGGGATTTATTGGAACGCAGAATTAGGCAGCACACAATTACATCGAAAGCAATGCTAAAAACCCTATTGCAGCAGGAATGGGACCAAATAGCCGAAGCTGAGACTGAATAGTTGGTTAATTCTATGCGAAAGCGTCTCGCCGAAGTCCTAAAACGGAAAGGTTATCCAACCTCTTATTAAATTGTTATTAATTGATCAATAAATGCAACTATATTCAGCTGTACGCAAACTTTTGAAAGCATGTTATTTTAAAAGGTTTTGGTGAAATACGAAATATAGGGGTACCAAAGAAGATACAAATTTTCTAAAATAAGGAATATGAAGGTAATTGCTAGGACTATCCGTAACAAAAATCATGTTTTTATATCACGTCAAGCATAAAATTTTACCTGTCAAAGTGAAAAGTTTAAAAATATTTGCCCTGTACGCAGAGATATGACGCTGAGTGTTCTTACATATGTACATACATATTTACAAATTTATGTTAATATATATATACATATATCACATGAATGTGAAATCCAGAAGTTCTATCAATAAACATTTTTTATTTTAGTTTAACATTTAAAATAAATATTTAATTCAAAAAGGAATCATACCACACAAGTTATCATGGACTTCCATATCTTATGATATCAACGGGATACAAACATTTCCAAGGATGTTGACGACAGCACAAAAACACTTAGTGATGAAAACAAAACAGCTCTTACTCCCGATAACACCGATAATTATTTGAAATGTAATAGGGTCTTCCCACAGAACTTACATCTGAATTCCATATCCGATAAACGAATGAGTCTTATGGGGTCTTTTCACAGAGCGTCAAACCGCATTTACCATCCGTTGGACGAACTGCCCATAAGGCCTTCCCGTTCGGAATTTTCTCATTTTGGACCGGCATTAGAATGCATCTAATGGGGTCTTCCTAAACACCGTCGAAGCGCATTCACCGCCCATTGAATAAACGGTCCCTAAGGTTTTGCCGTTCCGAATTTTCTCATTTTGACCGGCAACAGAATGCATCTAATAGGGTCTTCTCACACAACGTCAAAGCACATTCACCGTCCGTTGAACAAATGGTCCATAAGGTTTTGCCGTTCCGAATTTTCCCAAATGGACCGCCGTTAGAACACATTAAAATCTAACCACGGTTGGTTTGGCGATAGTTAGGCGATAGTTTTTCGGTGCAAAGTGTATACATACTTGGCGAGAAACTAATGAGATATGGAATTTAAAATATGGCACCAAAGCTACAAGCATGCCCAAAATAATTGTTGGCGTTTTTTCTGTATATTCTTGCCCCAATATGTCCCCAATTGGTACTATTTAATATAAAACGCCTGCCTCTACCTTATTTTAAAGATTTTGGATGCCTATACCACCTATAGACACTCTTCGGGGAATTTGCTCTTTGTTAGAGAAAAATCATTAGAAAAACTAAAATTCCTTGTCATTTAATTCATTTAAATTTATGGCGGATAAATTCTGACGCAATCTGTGCCTTTTCCTGTTGTACAACAGCCAAAATAATTGGTAAATGGTCCATTTCAAATTTGCAACTGCCAATTCAACAGTCTTTGTTTACTTTTTTATGAGCCACAGCTGATCGATTAGATGTTCGGATGGTGAATGTGCTTTGACGGTGTGTGGGAACACGAGTTTCACATTTGTGAAAAATCCCAAACGTTCCTCACAAATGTGCTGTGTGGGAAGACAGTATAAATATAGCCACCGTTTGTTGGCGATAGTTAGGCGATTCTTATTAACAGTGAAAATTAATCCATTCACTACGAAAATGTAAACAAAGTTGGCGAGGAACAAATGAAATTTGGAATTTAAAATGTGGTGCCAAATATATCTATTATATAAAAATAAGTCGAGTTTTCTGCGGGGATCAAATAACTCCAGAACGCACGAACCGATTTCCACGGTTTTGCATTCGATGGAAAGGTCTCGGAATTTGTAATTTTTTGCAGTAAAGAAAATTCAGGAAAAATTGCAACAGAAAGCGGGAAAATCATTTTTGCATAAAGCGCCAACACTGACACATAGCATGCCATAATTCTCTACTCAGTTTATTTTATGACAAATCGAAATTGTGTTCAATTTTGAGTAAAATAAGTTATTCGTTTCATATCAGTGCAATTGGAAACCAGCATTTGTATTTAGGGTGGTAAGTTGAACTGTGTAAATTATGTGGATCAGAGGTTAAATTAACCGCTCTGCCTATAGTCGAAAATGCCTATAGCACGACGTGTGAACATCGGTCTCCGCACAAGGCATGCAATCCAGCAGCAAGTGTATTCACAGAACTTAAGCGAGGAAAGACGAAATGAAAGAAGAGAATATGACCGATTAAGACGAAGCGTGAGCACACGAAGATCATTGGCATCATACAATCGCTTGGCATTTCAATATGATCCCTCTGCGAACTACAGAGATGATAGAAAATTAGATATTGGACCTATGACGACTATATGCCGATATTGCAATGCGTTAATGTTTAAAAGAGAAACTACTGGATTGTGCTGCGCTAGTGGAAAAGTCAAACTGGATCCATTACTTACACCACCACAGCCACTGAAAGCATTGTTCGATGAAAGTGATCCAGATTCCAGCCATTTTCTTCAACACATCCTTGAAATTAATAACTGCTTTCGCATGACTTCCTTTGGAGCTAATATCATTCGAGAAGACGGCTTCATGCCGACTTGCAAGGTAAAAGTTACAATCACTTAGACAAACAAAAAGAATTGCAACATAATAACAACATATACTTTACGGACTACACCATCACACGATTCTTCAACAAATGATTGTTTGCAATTACAGATACAAGGGCAAATATATCATTTGCATGGTTCGTTGGTGCCAACAACAGAGGAACCGCATCAATTTCTGCAAATATATTTCATTTCGTCGATGGTGGATCAGCTGAATGTGCGTTGCAATATTCAGGGAACAGGGCACTTAAAGAGACGAATTATTGAACAGTTGCAAGCATTTTTTCACGATAATAATGCTGTGGTTAATATGTTCAAATCGGCATTGGAACGAATGCCATCGGATACGCACAAATTTATCATAAGAGCGGATTGTACCCCAGCAGGTGAACATGTGCGAAGATTCAATGCACCCACCGTTAATGATGTTGCTGCAATTATTGTTGACGATCCAACTAAATCGCAAGACATTGTGGTTCAGCGAAGAAGCAATATCATGCATCGAGTAAACGAGACACACCGTTTGTACGATGCGTTATAATATCCAATCATTTATTGGCCAGGGCAAGAAGGATACGACATCACGTTGAAGATGGTCGATCCAATTACAGGTATAATATTCTACTAATTATTTAAATTATAGTTATTGGTTTCCATTAACAATTCATTTAATTGTGCATTTTCATGCGTATAAAAAAATAAGCGCAATGAATTACTATGCGTATCGTATGATGATTCGTACAAATGAGGAGAATGTCATTCTAAAGTGCCGTCGGCTGTTTCAGAAATTCGCTGTCGACATGTATGTCAAAGTCGAGACCGAACGTTTAGCGTTCATCCGATTCAATCAGTCAAAGTTACGATCTGAGGACTATATACACTTGCGTGATGCTATTCATTCAGAAGGTGATGTTCAGAATATTGGACGTCTGACGATTCTTCCATCATCTTATATCGGAAGCCCACGCCACATGCATGAATACGCTCAAGACGCTATGACGTACGTGCGAAATTATGGAACTCCAGATTTATTTATTACGTTTACATGCAATCCGAAGTGGACGGAAATTGAACGTGAGTTGGAACCGGGCCAAAAACCGCAGGATCGCCATGACATAATCGCAAGAGTATTTCACCAAAAACTCAAGGTTATGATGGATGTGCTTACTAAGTATCGAGTTTTTGGTGACACACGTTGTTATATGTACTCGGTGGAATGGCAGAAGCGTGGACTACCGCATGCTCATATCCTAATTTGGTTGCTGAACAAATTACATTCAAATGAAGTGGATGACATCATATCAGCTGAAATTCCTGATCCAGTCACCGATCCCCATCTACACGACATTGTGACGACACAGATGGTGCATGGACCCTGCGGTGCATTAAATCCATTATCGCCTTGCATGGCTGATGGAAAATGCACAAAACGATATCCGCGACCGTTAGTTACTGCAACAGTCACAGGGTACGATGGATATCCAGTTTATCGTCGGTGTTCAAATGAGGAAAATGGTCGAACTATCATAGTTAAAGTTCAAAATCAAGAGATTGAGTTCGGAAATGAATTTATTGTACCATATTGCCCGCTGCTATCACGAATTTTCGAAACACATGCAAATGTTGAGAGTTGTCATTCGGCCAAATCAATCAAATATTTGTGCAAGTATGTCACCATATTTCCGCTATTCAGTTGGTCTCTAAAAGAATTTCGGATAGGGACCACTTAATTAGTAGTTCTTGGTGATTTTAACATCCCAGAGGCTATTTGGTCCCTAGATAATTCCAAAGAGCACCTTAAATAAACGAATAATTTGCCGAAGGTGGCGTAACGGAGTTCGCCGTGCTTACTAGTTATATTATATAAACCACCTACCCCTACTTTGTTTTATAGATTCGGGAAGCCTATACCACCAATACACACTCTGCGGGGAATTTGCTCTTATTTAGAGAAAAATCATTAGAGAAACTTAAATTCACAAATGCACTATCTTCCCAGACAGTCAGGCCTGCTTCAGTAATCGTAAAATTTTGTCGTTTTCGTATTGGGCGAAATCGTACGATTTAGTTTTTAAATGCTCCGGTTTTCGAAAAATTTTTGTTATCGGAATGTTTCGTTTCTCATCGTTTCTTATTGCTCAAGAATCTGACTTAATATACGTATGGTAAAAAGCAAACAACGTGAAGAGCTTCCTTTAACATTTACAATTGGCTATTTTAAAGCCGGGAAAAGGCAAAAATTTATGGAGTTTGTTACGACCTGAGTTTTACCGATGGGGCAAGGCCGGCTAGCCAGTCTCCTCTCAGGGGGGATTTCTCCGTTACCTGTCTGCACTTTTATGGACGTAGCTTGCAAGAAATTTGTTGCAAACCTTTGGTGAAAATGGTGTTTGATACGTTCTCTGATAAGGGTGCCGGTCCCACCGTGGGCTTTACCATCTGGATGATCTGTGCGGTGGAAGGTATAACCTCTTATATGAAAGTTGTATCTGCTTGTGAGGTGCGTTTCAACCAGTAGCATGGCGTCGATGTGGAATTTATGAATTGCGTTAGTTCAAGTTTATGCCGTGAGACGCCGTTGGCATTCCACGTGGATATACGTAGATTAGACATTGATTATTTCGACTGTTGTGCTACAAGCAACTGTATCACCATATTCTGATTCTGGACAAGCGTTTGCATGGTCGTTTTCATAAATGTCATGAGTTCCATCATACTTTGTTGCATGGTCACCATCATGGATTCCAAGTTGTTTCGTGGCTGCCCTGGGGACTGCTGAGCGTTTACCGAGTTTCAGGGGAGTGGATTTTGCATACCTGTCCGTAGAGCTTCCGCGTAGGAGATGCCCGTAGGTACATTTAGCGGATCTGGCTGCTTTGGCAAAAAATACATCTGGAGTAGTTTTTGAATTATAATACACATTTTGTTGCGACTCTTCTGTTCCTTATAGACCACGCAGCCTCTGTAGTTAGCCGTATGATTTCCTACACAGTTTCCACAGTGTCCACACTGACCGAAGGGAGCAGTCCTTGTTTGTCCAAACTCCTGGCATTTTGTGCATTGTGCGGGACTGTTGCGTTTGTGCGGTTCTTCCACGATGATTCTTCAATGCAATAAGAACTGCAACTTGTAGGTCGGGAGACCTTCATTTTTCTTTAGGGCCTTACTATCTGGCTCAAGTTCGACTTTGTTTTTGTTGATAATTTTGCTAACATTCTTGGCAAGGTTTCCTTGCCTCTAAGGGCTTCTAATATCTCAGAGGGGGCGACGTCAGGTTCAATTCCATTTAGCACTACTTGCAGTCCCTTGCTGCTTTTAAAGTTATTTTTACCTTCCATATCTATCAAAGGCCTTTGAAAATATAATGGCATCTCAGAATAACTCGTTCATCCATGAAAACGCTTTACTGAATAATAACCAATCAGGATTTAGGAAACACCGCAGCTGCACTTCGGCAATTTTAAAAATAGCAAATGATATACGAGAATATGCTGACAACTCCAATGTAACGCTTCTTGTACTACTTGACTATAGTAAAACCTTCGACACTGTTAATCATATTGTCCTATGTGCAAAATTAGTAAATCAGTTCAAATTCTCAAAAACTGCTGTCAAACTAATGACATCATATTTACAAAACCGTCGTCAATCCGTCGTAGTGTCAAATGTGTCGTCTTCTTTTGTGTTTACAAAACGCGGTGTGCCGCAAGGTTCTGTACTTGGTCCGCCTTCGTTCACCCTCTATGTAAATGATCTTCCCTCGATGTTGTAAAGTTGTGATGTCCATATGTATGCAGGTGACGTCCAAATGTATGTGAGCCGTCCCCTAAATAGAATAAATGAGTGTGTAGACCTATGTAATAATGAACTGGTCAAAATAAGCAACTGGGCAAAAGAAAACGGACTAGGACTGAATCCGTCAAAATCCAAGTGCATAATTATTTATAAAAAGAAACTCAGTCTTTGCATTGGGCCCTTACTTTTAAATAATAGTCCTATTGAATAGCTCAGAGAAGCCAGGTTCGGAAAAATTTTTTTTTCGAAATTTGAAAGCTGGAATCGTTTGCCCATCGTTTGCCCATGTTTGCCCACCAATTAGTTTTGTTTGCCCACGTCCAGTTTTGAGGATATGAAAATTCGAAAAAGTTCGAAAATTTTTGAACTTCAAAAATTTGACTTTTTTCAAATTTTTTTTTGGAAATCGCAATAACTTCGTTTGCCCACCCTTTAGAATTTTGAAATTTTTTAAACTTTACGAGATATAACACTTTAAAAATTTGGTCCGTTTTACCAAAGAAATAATGCATTGCCCACCTCCGAAAACTGAATATTATTAGAAAAAACGTTTGCCCACCCCTTAAAAATTAATTTTTTTAATTTTAATTTTTTTATTTATTTAATTTAATTTTAACGATTGCCCATCTTTAAAAAATGAATTTTTTCGATCGCCCATCCTTTAAAAATCAATATAAGCGATTGCCAGCCCCTTAAAACTTAATTTTAACGATTGCCCATCCTTAAAAATTAATTTAAACGATTGCCCATCCTTAAAAACTTGATTTTTCGATTGCCCATTTTTTCAAAATTAATTTTGAGGATTGCCCATCCTTTAAAAATCAATTTAAACGATTGCCCACCCCTTAAAACTTAATTTAAACGATTGCCCATCCTTAAAAATTAATTTAAACGATTGCCCATCCTTTAAAAATTAATTTTGAGGATTGCCCATCCTTTAAAAATCAATTTAAACGATTGCCCATCCTTTAAAAATTAATTTTGAGGATTGCCCATCCTTTAAAAATCAATTTAAACGATTGCCCAGCTTTTGACTTTCATAGCCAACGGTCGTGTTTTTGTTTTGCGCTCCGAACTTTTGTGTTGTTTTGCATTTAAACCACCGGGGTCCAAATTTTAAATTGTTAAAATACAATTCGTAATTCGCGTAGCGAGTGCATGTGCATGTGGCTTTCAGTGTTTAATTAATATATATATAATTAATCACCTTTAGTTTTTGTGTTTTTGCGTTTTCTTATCCCCTCTTTGTGTTGTCCCGTTTATTTGCTTCTAGCAGCAGCACTTAACCGGCTCCAAAGCTTTCGTGTTTCTCTTCTCACCCACGCTTACGCTCCCGCTCTCTTGTTTTTTTTTTCGGTACTGCTTATCTGCGCACCGTGGTTAAAGACTAGTGAAAATGGTTCCAAATATGATTTGTGATATTAAAGGCTGCCAAAAGGAGGTTTTGGCAGATCAGCCCAGCCTTTACTGCTGGCTTTGCGATGCGGTCGTTCACGCTAAGTGTCTAGGCTTAACGGGCCGTATCGCTGACGCAATTTCCGCCAAAAATGGCTTGCGCTATTGTTGCCATGCCTGTCGTGAGGTGGAGAAGGATATGTGATCCTTCATGCGGCAAACCAAAAGCAGATTTAGTGAACTTAGGGTCAATTTTCGCAAAACGAATGACCTGTTCACAGCGCTGGACGCTCAATTTAGCGGCATGAAGCTGCTAAGTGAGTCACCAAAGCGCAAAAAATCTGCTGCTGGTCGGCTGCAGTTGGGCGAACCCCAGCCACCAAAGATTTGGCACACTCCCTCGGCACAGCCCCCGACACTGACGCCAACTCCAATGGTGTTAAGATCGGGAACGGCTAAAGATTCGGCATTCGAAGGTGCCGGGGCAGTAATGGCATCAGATCCGCCAGTGTTATTAGTTGAGTCCGCTGCGGGGTCTCAATCTCTGACACCGCAGACTTTAAAAAAAATCTCTGCTATCCCAAAGGGCAAAAATAGGGCTGAACCACTAGCAGAAGTCGGTAATGCTGCGTTACCAAAGACCATCACCGCTATTCCACCACTAAAAACAATATTTGTTTCTCGGTTTGCCCCTGATCACGCATCGGAAGATGTACTAGCTCATATACTGAGCAAAACACAAGCCAAAAAATTCAATTTTTCATACCCCAGAGATATCTCATCTTTTAAGATAAGTGTCTCCCTTGAGCTTTTTGACTCAATTTGTTCGGGTGACTTCTGGCCCGAGCACGCGGTAGTTAAGGAGTTCGAGGTGAAAATAAAGAAAAAACGGCCTTCACGGCCGGCACAAACCACAGTGACAGCGGGCGTCACGGCAGTGCCAAAAAACTAAATACCTCCATCCTACTTTCCTATCAGAAATAGAGGCTTACGCAGCAAGCTCTCTAAATTGTATTCTGATAGTCTTTCGTTTGCATCCCAGGTGATTGTGTTTACCGAAACCTGGTTAAAGCCGGAGATTCTCAGCTCCGAAATTTTTCCGGGTAAGTACACAACTTATAGATTGGACCGTCTTTCCCAGCGAGGTGGTGGAGTTTTAATTGCCGTTGACTCCACCCTTAGTTCCGAAC